CCCCCAATCCTTTTCTTCTTGTCCCCTTTTCCTCCTCTCCCCCTTTTCACCCTTTTTTCTTCTCCCCTTTCCAAACGTTATACTATTTCATTGGTTGACGTCGGTTGGTGCTAGTCCCTTATCCACGGTGTTTTTTTTCTGTCTTATATCCGAGTATAGCGTATAGCTTATCATCCTATTGGAGCTTTGTGTCCCTTTACGACCCAGCTTTTCAGTATCCAGTTGTTTTCTAATGTGGAGTCAACTTCACACTCGTAGGTCTTTGATTTTTTTCAAATATCCCCTGCTGGTTGAAAAAAAGTTGTCCAATCGTTCAACCATTTATTATTAAAATTTAAAAAACAACAAACAATTTTTTCTCTCTTTTATCTAATCATATGTTCAAAGAAAAATGAACTCGTACGCACATTTGTAAATTCAGAGCGCGAATTAACTTTTCAATCGTATTTGTTCAAGATCTGAACCGCTTTAATTTTTAGATCATGTTTCAGACAAACACGGATTGCCTTAAGTGTTAACTGCACATTCAGAACATCCTATGCCCTGAATTTCAATTGTGTATTCCAACTTCAAAATACGGATTACGCTAATTTTCAGTCGCGTATTTTTTTTTCAAAATAGGGACAACCCTTATTTTCAATCGTATATATTCAAAAGATATCCTTTTCTTTCTTCCTTGCATGCGAGTGGTTGGAGAGCACCACTGGTTGGTCCTACATCTTACCAATTTTTTTTAAAAACTTTCCCTCTGCTCTGTCTGTCTGTCTGTCTGTCTGTCTGTCTGTCTGTCTGTCTGTCTGTCTGTCTGTCTGTCTGTCTGTCTGTCTTTTCTTCAGCACTAAATAACTATCATTGTATCGATGTGTTTCTCTTTTTTCAATCCAAACGGATAAAGCAAATTCTGTCTTCCTACAGTTGCAGGAGATGGTACAGGAGATGAAGCAAGAGTTCCAGGCTGCCTTCACACAGCTGGCTAAGCTGCCGGACAGAGACTCCGGGTCGTCCTCTAGAGGCAGTGGTGGTGTGGATCAGCAGCAGCAGCAACAGCAGCAGGAGAGAATGCAGCAGCAGCAGAGGCAGCTGGACGATCTAACGGAGGCGGTGCATGCCATCAAGGTAAGCCCTGACTGCCAACAGGTGTCTGTGGTGCAGCGGTTAGACACTTCGCTCTCGCACACAGGTCCGAGACTGGAGTTCGATTTCCGATGTGTAGAGAGAATAGCTATCGAGTAACTCGGTATATTTACTGGGATATTGTCTGCCTCTCAGCCTGGGTTGGTCCTGATAGGCAGGGTCGAAACCCGTTCCCTGGATGATCTAAATTGTGTCACTGGAAGCATGAGAATACCTATTTAAGGTCTTCCTGCTGGGGTGTAGTGGTGAGTGGACTTCACTGTTTCCTTACTACTTCACTGTTGTGAAGACGCTTGGATTCGCTTGTCTTCTCCATAACTGGGGCGCTGACTTTTTCTGCTGGACTGTCGTAACCACATCATTCTAACACAGCTACTTATTTTGAAATTAGCGGAAAGATGTGGTTTCCTCGTTGAAAGATCCTGAATCATTATAGTATTATATTTTCTGTACAAACGTAGATGCGTGTGCCCATGTGACCTTATGCAGTTGCGTGTGCCGTAAAACTCTTTAAAAAAACAACTACCCCTAAACCAAAAATAAATACATAAAAACGTAATGGAAACGTCTCAGCAGTGAAGAGGTTAAGGATAGATTATCACGCATTAAAAAAAATCCCCGTGAGGGGCTTCAAGTTACAATGGCAAAGTCAAGACTGTAGGTTATATAATACGAAAGTTGTACATATTGTACTAACATCACATACATGTACTGCACAGTATTCCATCCAATGCTTGTCTTTGTTTTTGTTCTTGTTTTCTTTCTCTCCTCCTCCTCCTCCTCCTCATTTTCTTTATATTATTATCCTTCTCTTACTTTTGTTTTAGTAGAGGTTTTACGGCGTTCGCAACCGCATAAGGTCATATGAGCGCCAGAAGATTAGAGGTGTTACAAAAGAGTAACAAACATAAAAAAGAAGAAGGGGAGATAAGGACAATAGATGTTTGATAGGAAAGAAGAAGCAAAACCACACCAGAACTCCCGCCAACCACCCACTTCTCTTACTTTAACCTGAGAGAGAGAGAGAGAGAGAGAG